CCCCGCCACCGCCATCATCCCAAGAGAAATGTGCTTGGAAGGGAAAGCTGGATGAGTCAGCGAATTGTTTAGCGTCCTCAAGGACGTTTTTTGTGCAGAGGAAAAATTATTCAAAGCTGACTTTGGTCCTAAAAAATGAATATTTGATGATTCCGTTTTCAGTTCATTCAAAATAGCCAATTTTAACGCTCACTATTAAACGTGAGTCGTATTGTGATTCTTTGAGGGCTTGTTGATTAAGTGGATTTAGTCCTACTGGGGAAGGAGCGGCAGCCAAGCAGAAAATGCCCAAGGTGAGAGGACCAGGCGGGGAGTGCCCCGTGGGGAGCCTCCCAGAGCCACTGGGCTGCCGAAAGGCTCATCCCCGCACTGAAGTGACCTTGAGGCTGAGGAAGAAGCTGGCCTGCTGCTCTGTGAGCGTCCCAGCCAGGATGGCCCGGCGACTCGGGTGACGGAAGGAGCCTGGCCCGGCAGGTCTCATCGCAGCATCTGCCAGTGCAGAGCAGGGCAGGGTCCAAGGGGCAATGGCCGCTTCTAAGGCCCAGTCCCTTCTGTATGGACCCACCCGGGGGGCAGGGAGACAACTCAAACCTGAATTGATTGCATTTTAACCTTGAAATGTCTGAGAAATCATCGATATGTCTGAGCTGCCTTGGAAAGAAATTGTTTTTCTGCTCTCAGGCTGGAGGGGAAGCTAGAAAGAGGATTCAGTTATGGGGAAATACCAGTCAAGGGAGTTGCATGTTGTATGCCCCTGAATCTATAGATGACGAACTATCGTCTGCTCTGTGTCATTCACTGAATAAACATCATCAGGAAGAATTTCAGATGCTCAGAACTGGAAATACTGAAAGCATTACATATTTTAGGAGGCCCGGGTCCCGTCCTGGGGGTGCTATCGGTGGGGAGACCTCCTCGTCCCTCACCTGTTGCCGGGGGAAGTGGGTTTCTTGGGGCGCTGCTGGAGTAAGAATTTCCCAACTACATCCGTTTGTTAGAGCTGCCAGGACCAGGTACTACCCACTGGGGGCTTAAGTATTTTCTCACCATTCTGGAGGCTGGAAGTCCAAGACCAAGGTGTCCTCCGGTTTGGCTTCTCCTGAGGCCTCTCACCTTGTCTTGCAGATGATCCCTCCCTCTTTCTGTGACTGCGTCCAGTTCTGTCTTCTTATAAGGACACCACCATTCATATAGAACTGGGTTCATCCATTATCCCTTTTTAATATATTTTTTTTATTGATTTTGTACAGAGAGGAAGGGAGAGAGATAGCTAGTTAGAAACATCAACGAGAGAGAGTCATCGATCAGCTGCCTCTTGCACACCCCCTACTGGAGATGTGCCCGCAACTAAGGTACATGCCCTTGACCGGAATTGAACCCGGGGCCCTTCAGTCCCCAAGCAGACGCTCTATCCATTGAGCCAAACCGGTTTCGGCCATTATCCCTTTTTAAAATTTTATCTTTATTGTTGAAAGTGTTACAGATAAACCCCCCTTCCCCCATTAACCCTCTTCACCCCACTCTTGCCTCTCCCCAGGCCTTCACCGAAATACTGTCTGTGTCCATGGGTGATGTATTATGTATATAAGTTCTTTGGCTAATCTCTCTCCCCACCGCCTTCCCTCAGAGATTCATCAGCCTATTGTCTCTTTTAAAAGCCTATCTCCAGATAATGGTCACATAATGAGGTATCTTGGGGGTTTTGGCTCAACATATGAATTTTGGGGGTGACACAAGTCAGCCCATGATGCCAACTTTCCACCTGTGAGGTTAAGAATGGTCCTGGGCCCACTTCTAGGGATTTAGATGAGATGGATAAGAAAAAGGAAAAAAGAAAAAAAAGGTCAGCAAATGTCCAAATCAGCACATCTTGGCCCTGGACACTGATTTCAAAGCAACTGGGAAGCCAGAGAAGTAGGCAGAAAAAAGGAAAAACTTTATTTAGACTTTGCTTTGTTCCAGGAAGGACCTGAAGAGAGGAGCTCCCAAATTAAAAAGGACGTAAAGGGCAAGACACAGGAGACAAGGGGCCTGCGTGCCCACCAAGGCTCCCCCCTCGGAGGAGGGGTGTGCGGGCACAGTTAGAGCACAGTGCTCTGGGGGCTTCCCAAGGTTAACGTGGTTTCCTGCATTAAAGAGGCAATGCACAGATGGGGGGTGAAGAATAGTTTATGTTGCCATGGAGAATCATCACTGGAGCATGAGAAACCTGGACAATCCGTTAGAAAAAGCAGATCTCAATATTCAATGATTCACAGACATTTATTAAGCCCCTGTGATGTGGCAGGCTGTATGCTGATCACTGCAGGCAACACTGGTGGTGAGCAAGTTTTTAGTAACATTAGTAAACACACAAGTACAAAGCACATGTGTATTAACCCATGTAAACACTTACCCAAAATTTTTTTACAGTTGAGGAAACTGAGGCAAAGAGGATGTTTGTAACTGGCTTGAATACACACAGGAAAAAATGAAGCCAATGTTTTAACTTAAGGAAATCTGGATGGCTCCAAACTTCATACTGATAAAAACCACAAGATTCTGTCTTAAGATATTTGGGAGTTAACCCTGACTGGTTTGACTGGGTGGATAGAGCGTCGGCCTGCGGGCTGAAAGGTCTCAGGTTAGATTCCGGTCAAGAGCATGTACCTTGGTTGCGGGCACATCATCCCCAGTAGGGGGTGTGCAAGAGGCAGCCTCTCTCATCGATGTTTCTAACTCTCTATTCCTCTCCCTTCTAATCTGTAAAAAAAAAAAATCAATAAAATATATTTTTATTTTTTAAAATAGATTTTATTGATTTTAGAGAGGAAGGGGGAGGTAGAAACATCAATGATGAGAGAGAATCATTGATCGGCAGCCTCCTGCACGCCCCTATGTGCCCTTGGCTGGAATCAAACCCGGAACCTCCCAGCCTGCAGGCTGATGCTCTCTCCACTGAGCCAAACCAGCTAGGGCTAAAATACATTTTTTAAAAAAAGATATTTGGGAGTTAGACAGAGAAGGTATGAAGGCTTCCTCTCTAGATTTTTAGTTAGGCTGAGATCTGGAACAAGAGTTTTTATCTAGCCGAAACCGGTTTGGCTCAATGGATAGAGCGTCGGCTTGGGAACTGAAGGGTTCTGGGTTCGATTTCAGTCAAGGGCATATCCCCAGTAGGGGGTGTGCAAGAGGCAGCTGATCGATGACTCTCTCTCATCGATGTTTCTAACTCTCTATCTCTCTCCCTTCCTCTCTGTACAAAATCAATAAAATACATTTTTTTAAAAAGAGTTTTTATCTAAAGATACAACTGAGCTTTCAGATTGATCCAGATGGGAAGTAGGGATGAGGGCAGAGCTGACCAGAAAGTGGACCTGAAAAGAGGCCAAAGAGAAATCTCATGACTTCTAATTTTGCCTGGTAATCTCTAATGAAAAACTGCCGTGAAAATCAACAACTGAGTGTATTTAATTTTTAAATGCAGCGTTCAGAGCAGTCTTTATTAAGTGTTTTCAGAAGTCCAGCTTCCTATCTTGAAACTAATAAGAAATGAAAAAGGTGAACAAAAATGATGGTAGACTAGCATGCCCCTAGCTGCCCCAAACTGGCCTGTAGTTGGAGCTGAGACAGTTCTGGAGCTGTGGGACTAGAATTCTGGGCCAGGCGAAGGTAGAGACTAAAGCCCTACCCAGCTCTGGATTCCTAATTCCTCCTTGTTCTTTTTGTCTCATACCATACACCTACAGTTTCTCTACAATAACTATTGTGAAACTTTATTTGCTCATGGACAAAAGCTAAAAACGTTTAATCCCATCATTAGGCTAATTGGGTAAAAGTTACCCCATCCAGTTTCCTGTACAAACTCCCATTGTTCTCTAGGCTCTCAGACGCGGCACTGCAGGATGATTTTATGTGGGTCAGCATCTTTTAGAAAGCAGTCGTGGGCACAGCAGCTTATGAAATCAAACTCCTGGACACCGCGGAGTCCCTCCCTTGGGAAATGCTTTTTGTTTGTTTATGTTTGGGTGGCACCGGGATTCAGCAGCGTTCCAGGATCCAAGGTGGAAAAGGTCATTCCTCATTACCGGGCGGGGCCAGTCGCACAGTTAGGGCTCTCCATCGGAGTTTTGAGCTCAGACAGTTATAACATCCAGACACTGTCATCGCGGTGTTTGGTTTTGAGCCGGGGTGAAAGCTTCTCGTTTGCATCCAAACATTCGGGAACACAGGAGCTTTGTGCTGTCTGCGGCCGCAAGCGAGGAGGACTAGCGCCGCGGCCGACGGAGCAGGCGGAGAACAGAGCTCAGAGCGACCCTCTAGTAGCAGAAGAAAGTTCCTGTAGGATGTGACCGCCCCTCGGCCACGCGTGCGCGGCCCGCGGGGCTGGGCGAGAGGGTCCGGGGTGCCCCCCGTGGGGACGTATGGCACCTCCGTGCAGGGCTGAGTCGTAGCCTCAGCCGCGCATGCCCACCCAGATGGCAGCCTGCCCTGACCCGGCCGCTGTCAGGCTCAAAGGCTTCTACCCCAGGCCCTCCGTCCCCATCACCCCCCTTCTCCTGCCCTTTCGGTGATGACCAGAGTGCCAATCCCGGATCCATCAGCGAGGAGGGGGCGGGGCTTGGCGGAGAGAGGCGGGGCCAGGGGGAAGCGGAAAGCAGGATGAGCGGCGGGAGGGGCGGGGCTCGGCGGAGAGGGGCGGGGCTATGGAAAGATGGGCGGGGCTATGGTGAAATGTGAAGCGGCACTTAGCCCTGGGCAGGGCGGGGCTTGACGAAGAAGGCGTGGCTAGGTATAGGTGGGAGGGGCTCAGTGGATGGAGGCGTGGTTAGGTAATGAGAGGCGGGGCTATAAGAGGAGGGACGGAGCTCTGGTGAAATGTGAAGCGGCACTCAGCCCTGGGCAGGGCGGGGCTCTACGGAAGTGGGCGGGGCTGGGGAGGGCTGAGCGCGAAGCCAGGCTGAGAGCCTGAGGGGCGGGGCAGGCGGGGGGCGGGGCTTGGGACGCGCGGCGCGGCTTCCCCCCCCCCGCCCGGTCCGCTCCTCGCCCTTCCCGCGGCACCGGAGTGGGGCTCGCGAAGGCCGAGGCGCGAGTGGCGGGAGTGAGGAGGGGGAGTGCGGAGCCCGGTTCTGGAGCTGCGGGAGCCGGCGGGGGACCGGCGTGGAGGGCTGGAGGTGGCGGGGCCCCACGAGGACGCGATGAAGCCAAACCTCGAGGACCAGGCGGCGTCCGCCGAGGGCCCCTGGGAAGAGTGCTTCGAACTGGCCGTGCAGCTGGCGCTGCGGGCGGGACAGGTGAGCGCCGGGCCCCTCCCGCGCCCTGGGGAAGTCCCCGTGAGCGCAGCCCGCGCGCCGGGCGGCACGTCCCGCATCACACCCACCCGGCACTTAGGAAAGTCCGATCAGAAGTGGAGTCAGACCAGGGGGCTCTTCCGGGGCTGCGGGAGCCGGGCCCAGAACCACGTGCGGCCGCGGGGCTGGGCTGGGGGAGGTCCCGCGCCGCTGGGCCGTGTGCGGTGGGCGTCTGGTGACGGCTGACAAGTGAAAGAAGTCTTTGTGCTCGTTTCCTGCATAGACCTTCCCTTTACCTTCTCCACCCCGGAGCCGGGAGGTGAGCACCTCCTTTTCCCGTGGTGGTGGCAGGCACCCCTGAAAGCCCGCCGCACGGGGCCCCTCTCCCTTGGCAGTTGATGGCTAACTGTAGGTGACTTGACCTTTGCGTGGGAGACAGCAAGTTACAACAATATACGGACCAGGCAAATCAGTCCAGGGCTTTAAATGTTCCTCCCAGGCCTGAATGTCACCGCTGTTGGTGTTTCAAGACCTTTGCATTGATCCGGAGGCCAGGACATGGGTGTGGTTTCCCCCAGGCTTAAGCCCCAGCGACGTGGAGACCTGGGAGGCCGGCTGGCTGTTTGTCTTTCCTCAAGCATCCTCAATGCAAACGTACTCTGGCCCACCGCCTCGGAGCGGCTCCGCTCAGCGATTGGAGAAACATTCATAACCGGCCCGCTGGACGAAAACCACACCTGAGACTAGAGTCTGAAAGTGCAGCCCCTCTCTTTCCTCACTTTCATCTGTGTGTGTTCTGTTCCCCACATTTCCCTCGGCGTCCTCAGTGCCTGGCTAGGGGCTCGGTTCCCATTGCCGGGTGAACCAGCGGGTGTTGGTTCTCGGAGGGCTGGCAGGCAGGCAGGGGTGAGACTGAGTGGGAAGATGGCTTGCTGCTATTTGGCGTGTTAAGGTGGGTGCTTGTGTTCTGGTGACCTGGAGGTGAAGACGGACGGGAGAGGAGGAGCTGGGAGAGGAGAAGGAGTTGGTGTCCAGACAGCATTGTCTTCCTCAGATCTGCCAGTCTGAAAAAGTTGTCCCCACCGTGTTAAAACGCTCTGTGAGTCTTCCCACGGGGTTCGAATCGGGCTGTTTTCAGCCCTGGGTCGTCATGTGTACAGTGGGTAGTGCTTTCCCTTGCTATGAATCCTCTGATCCCCTTTAAAAGTTAATCTTCCCATGTAGTCTCGGAGGGCCCTCCCCCCTGTGGTTTTAAAGACCCAGGCTCGGTGGGGAAGGAATCGTGGCTTAAAGGAGTGCTGTGGGCTGTCCTCTGGCTCCGTCACCTTCCCCTCCTGCACCAAAGGAGATCCCAAACCTTCTGAGCTAGCATGGTGAAGCTCCTGGGAGCATTCTTCCTGGAAAGCACATCCATGTATTGGGAGGGGGAGGGGATTGCTCTCCTGCCCCTCCTCCTCCCTCCAAGCCTCCTCCCTTCCTTTTCAGAGTGACTGTCACCAGGATATTTAGTAACTTTTACATTCCACCATGAAACTTTCCTTCCTTGAGGCTTTGAGGAAAAGCCAGCTTAGGACTCAGGTAAATCCTGGTGAGCTGTTATGGGTTTCTGTGTTGTTTTTTTTTCAAACTTAGATCCTTAAAGATACTGAGGGGTTTAAAACAATTTAGCAAATGGTTATATAGAACTTGCAATATGGCAGGCACAATGTTAAAAGCCTTACAAATTTTAACTTATTTAGAAGATATCTATGTGTTTGCAACTGGCAAAAAATAAATAAATAAATAAATAAAAAATTAGGAGGGGGAAGGGTGAACTACAGAGTCTGCCATTAGGAGTCTGGTCAGGGAGCCCAGGACTCCGGGCTCCCTCTGGAGCATTATGCTGACGCTTCCTGCCCGCCCGGCCGTGAGGAGGACGGCCTCACCGAATGGGCTGTGGCTGGGACAAGCAAGCCACACAAGGTCGTCGCAACCTGTGCAAAGAGCGACAAATCGCCTGATAGTGTTCTTAGTAATGGGGCGCGGATTGGGAAAATCGGCCAGAGAGGAATGAAAAGGTAGTTAGCGGTGATCCTTTTGGAGTCCTAATGCAGCGTGCGGCACATTTTCTGTGGCCTTGTGGCCCAGAATGCCCACCCCGTCACCGGTACCCAGTGTTCTGCTATTATATTGAGTTCGCTACCCTCGGCTGCTCCTGAGACAATTATATGTTCTGAATTCCCGAGCCTGGGTTCTGTCTGCTGGAAGGTAGAACAAGAGGGAGGGGGCCTCCCGAGAGATGAATGTCACTGCCCTTGGTCTCTCAGACATTGGTGCGGGTCAGGGCAGCACCGGACCCTTTGCTCCCCGTTTCCGAGAGTGTCCACAAAAGCAGCCTGTGTGGCCTCCCTGGCCCAAAGTGCCCCCTCTGCACAAAGGCCCCCCCATTCTCTCCCCTTCCTCCTCGACTCTCCACCACCCCAGCCTGCGGTCCCTCTGAAACTCACCCCTTCCCTGCAGGCCCAGCCCCCCACCCTGTGCACTCAGGAGCCCCTCCCACCACCGCCACACATACAGATAGCAGTATTCATGGAGATGGATGTCTGTCATATTTTTTGTGACAGGTGAACATAAGTATCATAGAAAACTATGCTTTTTTAAAAATATATTTTTATTGATTTCAGAGAGGAAGGAAGAGGGAGAGATAAAAACATCAACGAGGAGAGAGAATCATTGATTGTCTGCCTCCCGCAAGCCCCCCACTGGGGATCAAGTCCACAACCCGGGCTTTGCCCTTGACCAGAATCGAACCTGGGACCTTTAAGTTTGACGCTCTATCCACTGAGTTGAACCGGCCATGGCAAAAACTATGCTTTTTAAATTGTCCTGCAAGGGTAGATGCAGGTTTTGTTGGGCATATCGAGCTTAAACAAATTAGGGGCCCTCTTTTTTTTTTTTTTAATATATTTTGTTAATTTTTTACAGAGAGGAAGGGAGAGAGATAGAGAGCTAGAAACGTCGATGAGAGAGTAACATCGACCAGCTGCCTCTTGCACACGCCCCACCGGGGATGTGCCCGCAACCAAGGTATATGCCCTTGACCAGAATCGAACCCGGGACCTTTCAGTCCACAGACCGACGCTCTACCACTGAGCCAAACCGGTTTTGGCAAATTAGGGGCCCTCTTAACAAAAAATATACAAATTAGATATAAAAATTACTTAAAATAAAAATCAACAGTGTAAATTTTAAGATGCTAGCAATATAACAAAATACATAAAAATAAATCTTCAACTACTCAATCTTCTGTAATACTTTTTTTCACTTTTTTTGGCTTTTCACTTTGCATCTTCAAATGTCAGTGATTTGGTTATTTTCTCTGGAGAGAATAGAAAGATAAATTTAGGCTTTCTTAGAGCATGGATGATTGAAATCTACTTAGGCTTCAAACTTGTTCCTGGTAAGGTCATATACATTTTAAGATTGCCATCCAATTTGAGAACACTGTCACTTTCCTTTTACGTATTAGCAGTAAGATGTGAGAGGATCTCCCACAGACCAGCACCTGGCTGCGCAGCGCTGAAGCCTTGTTTCTTTCCGTGGTCCCGGGTGCCAGCTGCCCCTGTCCATGCTCTCACACTCCTCTGGTCCTGCCCTTCGTGACACCATGCCCGGTCAGCTGGTGTGGTAGGCAGTGGAAGCATTTCTGGAAGCCATTCCTACACAGGATGACTAACAATAACGTACACACAGATGTGACTACAGATATAGCCCATCAAACCCAAAGTAAATCCATCTCTTCTCAACCTCCGTGTAGCCAGAGAAGCTAATGCCCCCTCCAGGGCCACCGGGTAGGGAACAGGATGGAGGGACGTCATAGTAGAAGGAGCAGTTAGATCTGCAGTTAGAGGAGCCGAGTGTTGCAAACTTAAAAGCGGTACTTCTGTGTGGCGCTGCTAGAGGTACTTCCCTATGGTCCCTCGCAAAGCCTCCCTGCCATTAGCTTCCCAGTGAATTCATCTCTGATTACCGGTGAGAACATCCCAGGAAAAGGCAGAAAGCGAAAACCCAGCCCTCTACCCTCAGAACTTCCGACCATGCCTCTCTAGTGGCCTTGTGCACCCATGCTGGTTACCTCCCCAGCGCCAGGCTTGAGAAGTGAGGCCTGCTGTCCCAACAGCCCCTGGGTGGACCAGGCCTGTGTTCGGCCGGATCAGACTAGTCTGCCTTTTCTAAACACATTGCATTTTCTCGCGCTTCTTGCCTATGTTTTTTGGAAACCATACTGTCCCTCCAGGGCTGGGTTACTGTGCCCCTTCCTTCCTGGACCTTCCGGGGGGACTTCCTTCTCTGTCCTGTGTCTCTCCCCCATCCTGCTGGCCCTCCGTCCCCAGTCTCCTCTGCCCGCCGTGGGCTCGGAATGTGCCGCTCCCAGAGCAGAGAGCGCACACTGTGGGCTCTGACCCTATATCATCTCTCAGTCTGGCTTGCTTTTGACAACAAAGCATTGTTTTGACTGGTGATTTTAATTGTTATCAGTTATTCACACAGGGAGTTTTATAAGTGAAATACTACTAAAGGACTGTCATGAAAACAGCAATGCCCTGGCCCATGTCATCCTTCATACTTTTCCCCAGAGATCATTGTGTTCCGTTTTCTCAGTTACTCCCATTTTGTAAATAATAGGATTCTACCACGCATTTCGATGCTAGATAGTGTGTGGATCTGTTGATATGCATATCACATTCTTCTTTTTTTTTTTAAATCCTCACCCGAGGATATTTTTTCCATTGACTTTTAGAGAGAGTGGGAGGGAGAGACAGAGAGAAACATCAATGTGAGGGTGACACATTGATTGGTTGCCTCCCACATGCCCCTGATCAGGGCCCATGACCCTCACCAGGGCCAGGAGCCTGCAACTGAGGTACGTGCCCTTGACCGGAATAGAACCTGGGACCCATCAGTCCACAGGCTGACGCTCTGTCCACTAAGCCAAACCAGCTAGGGCTCCATATCACATTCTG